GGAATGCAGTTCGAAGCCAGCAGGAAGGAAATTAATCAGCAATTAATCTCCATTTAATCAGAAAAAACTGAAAGTGAAGCTGTGATTCAAAGGATAGAGTACCAGCCTTGAGCAAAAAAACTCAAGGACAGTGCCCAAGTCTTGATTTCAAGCCCCAGGAAAAAGAAAAAGAATAAGCTTAATTCCCCTTTTTGCCAGTCCTGAGGCTTGAACTCAGGGTCTGGCACTGTCCCTGAGCTTCTTTTGCTCAAGGCTAGCACTCTACCCCCTTGAGCCACAGCAACACTTCTGGCTTTTTCTGTTTATGTGGTACTGAGGAATCAAACCCAGGGCTTCATGCTAGATAAGCACTCTACCACTAACCCACATTCCCAGCCAGAGTATAAGCTTGATTAAGGAATTCTTTTCTGTGTTAGTGGGTTGTCATTGTAACAAAATATCTAGACAGTTGACTTAGAAGAGGTTTATTTTGGCTTTGACTGTTCCAGTCCATGATTGGCTTGGCCCTGTATCCTCAGGTGAGGTAGCACATGATAGCATGAATGAAGCGTAGAGAAAAACCATTCACCTCAAAGCCATGGAGAAAGGAAGAGGCCCAGTTCCATAATTTCTTTCAAGGGCACACCCCTAATGTCCTAAAAGCCTCCTATCAGGTCCACCCTCCCCTGACCTTATAGGTTCTACCACCTTCCAACCCTTTAACAATGGATTTTCTGAGGTTGTTTAGAGTCAAATTATAGCACAAATAGAAAAGATAGAAGTAGGCTGAGGGCACAGCACAAGTGGTAGAATGTTTGCCTAATAATATCCTGAGTTCAAATCGCAGGACTGAACATACCCACCCAAAAAAGAGGAAGAAAAAAAAGGTAAGTATTTGCCTAGAAAAGGTAGATGTGACTGTGGCTTCTGAGACTTGGTCATTAAAAGACCTTTTCTGCTTGTTCTCTTGATCATTTGCTTTGAGGAAACTTAGCTGCTTATATAAATATACTCAAGCAACTTACAGAGTCACTTGTGTGGTGAGAAACTGAGTTGTCTGGTTATCGCCAGAGAGGAACTGAGGCTTTCAGGCATTTTAGAAATGAATCATCCAGCCACACCATCTCTAGCTATTATAGACCCTTCTGATATCCTGTCTGCCAGCCACATGACAGATCCTGTCCAAGAACCTGCTAGCTTAGCTACATCTAGATCTTGACTCTCAGAGAGAGGTAATAAGTATTTCTTGTTTTAAGCCTCTCTATTTTAGGGTAATTTGTTATATAGTAATAGAAAAGCAGCACAGAAAAGTGGAAGATAGGGCTGGGAAGGTGGCTCAGTGGTAGAGCGCTTGCCTTGCATGCCTGAGGCCCTGGGTTCGATTCCTCAGCACCACATAAGCAAACAGAAAAAAGCCAGAAGTGGCGCTGTGGCTCAAGTGGTAGAGTGCTAGCCTTGAGCTGAAGAGCTAAGGGACAGCGCCCAAGCCCAGAGTTCAGGCCCCATGACCGGACCCAAAAAAAAAAAAAAAAAAGAAAAGTGGAAGATAAAATTGAGGAAGTAAACCAGGCGCCTGTGGCTCATGCCTGTAATCCTAGCTACTCATGAGGCTGAGATCTGAGGATCACCGTTCAAAGCCAGCCGGGGCAGGAAAGGTTGTGAATGGCGCTGAATTCAGGGGTTCATGCTTTCTCAGTAAGCAATGCTTGTAGGCCAATTCAGGAAGTTTTACATTTGACAAATAGCGAAGTAGGAAAAATGGAGATAACCATAATTTTTAAGGCAGAATTCTCAGAAATGAAGAACATCAATTTCCAGGATGAAAGAGGATGTCTATCACAATGATGGTGAAAAGACTTATATAGAGTTACATATCATTATGAAATTTCAGGATTTTTTTTTTAATTTAATTTTATTTGTGAACATACTGTACAGAGGAGTTACAGTTACATGGGCAGGATAATGCGTACATTTCTTACCAAGCATTGCAGCCTCCTCCTTTGTTTACCCTTCACATCCCTTCCCAGCCTCCCCCCTCCCCCCCTAATCCCCAATCCTTCTCCTTCCTCCCCCCCCCCCCCCCCGAAATTCCAGGATGTTAAGGAACAAAAAGAAAATTTAAGGGCTAGGAAGGTGGCTCAGTGGTAGAGTGCTTGCCTTGCATGTATGAGGCCCTGAGTTCTATTCCTAAGCACCACATAAGCAGAAAAAGCCGAAGTGGCCCTGTGGCTCAGGTGGTAGAGCGCTAGTCTTGAGCTGAAGAGCTGATGAGCTGAGGCATAGCACCCAAGCCCAGAGTTCAGGCTCCAGGACTGGAAAGAAAGAAAGAAAGGAAGAAAAAAGAAAGAAAGAAAGAAAGAAAGAAAGAAAGAAAGAAAGAAAGAAAGAAAGAAAGAAAGAAAGAAAGAAAGAAAGAAAGAAAGAAAGAAAGAAAAGGAAGGAAGGAAGGAAGAAAGAAAAAAAGAAAGAAAGGAAAGAAAGAAAGAAGAAAGGAAGAAAGAAAGAAAGAAAAAAGAAAGAAAGGAAAGAAAGAAGGAAAGAAAGAAAAGAAAAGAAAATTTAAGCTGGGTGCTGGTGGCTCATGCCTGTATTCCTTTCTACTCAGGAGGCTGAGATCTGGTGGACTGAACCTGGAAGCCAGCCCAGGCACAAAAGTCTGCGAGACTCTAATCTCCAAAAACTACCAGAAATGCTGAAAGTGGAGATGTGGCTCAAGTGGTAGAGTGTTAGCCTTGAAGCATAAAGCCACCAGAACCTTACTATTGGCCTGGAGAATGAAAATTTATGAGTTTCCCAAAGGAAGTATTCCTTTAAAACAGGGTATAGAGAAACACTATTATTTGGAAATAAGAATAGCCCTAGGGACTGGGAATATGGCTTTGTGATAGAATACTTGACTAGCATGCATGAAGCCCTGGGTTTGATTTCTTAGTACTACGTACACAGAAAAGCCCAGAAGTAGCTCTGTGGCTCAAGTGGTAGAGCACTAGTCTTAACCACAAAGAGGCTCAGGAGGGGCTGGGAAGGTGGCTCAGTGGTAGAGTGCTTGCCTTGCATGCCTGAGGCCCTGGATTCGATTCCTCAGCACCACATAAGCAAAAAGAAAAAAGCCGGAAGTGGCGCTGTGGCTCAAGTGGTAGAGCACTAGCCTTGAGCTGAAGAGCTGAGGGACAGTGCCCAGGTCCAGAGTTCAGGCCCCATGACCAGACCCCCCCCCCCCCCCCCGCAAAAAAAAAAAAAAAAAAAAAAAGAGGCTCAGGAACAGTGCTCAGGCCCTGAGTTCAAGCCCAGGACTGGCAAAAAAAAAAATAGTGCTATTTGAGACCTAGCTGAAGTGGGATAACAGGAGTCGCGAGAGTTAATATAGGGCTATTAAAGGGTTTCTAGTGTCCATTGGGGATGCTTTGTATAAATATTACCTGGAAGCTGGATAGTAAAACAGAACCATGGTGGAATTACAGAGGATAGCCCACAGAGGGCTATATGAGAGTGTCCTACCTAATTCTTTACTTTATGCTTTTATGCTTTCCTGGTCATCTCTTTCCTACATCAATATAGTTTCCACCTTCAATTTCCTTCATGTATTCTACTTGAAGACCTTCTTTCTTATTTGATAGCTATTCAAAACTTTTTATTCACTTATCCACCCCACAAATATTTATTAAACTTCAACTATGTATGAGGCATGGATAGGCATTGTGAATATAATACTGATCAAATATTTCCTTACCACATAGTAAAAGTTCTTCAATAATTCCTTGTAAAGCTAAAATTCTTGGCAGGGTAAACAGCATCTTCAATTTATCTGGCTCCTGCTAGATTTCAAGGTGTGCTACTTTACCTTGCATCTGTATTCCTTTTTTGTTTACCTGATGGACTTTAATCATCCTTTACCAGTGAGTTAAAGAAAGCATTTCTTGGCTGGGCACCAGTGGCTCATGCCTATAATCCTAGCTACTCAGGAGGCTGAGATCTGAGGATCACAGTTCAAAGCCAGCCCAGGCAGGAAAGGCCATTTTATCACCAATAAAACCACTAGAAAACTGGAAGTGGCGCTGTGGCTCAAGTGGTAGAGTATGTGCCTTGAGCTGAAGAGTGCAGAGACAGTGCCCAAGCCCAGAGTTCAAGCCCCAAAACCGAAAAACAAAACAAAACAAAACAAAAAACCCCCTCAAAAACAGTTTTTGTATGAAGTCTTTTCTGAAGGAGTTCTCATTCAGCTTCAAACTTAGTACTATTGCCTGGCACCAGTGGCTCATGCCTAAAATACTAGCTACGTAAGTGGCTTACAAGGTAGAGTGCTAGCCTCAAGCAAAAAGAAGCTCAGGGACAGGGAAGGTCCTGAGTTTAAGGCCCAGGACTGGCACAAAACAAACTCAATACTATCTACTTATTCCTTTGTGGTTACATAGCAATCCATATTTAATTTTTTTTTTGGGGGGTCTGGTCGTGGGGCCTGAACTCTGGGCCTGGGCACTTCCCTCAGCTCTTCAGCTCACGGCTAGCGCTCTACCACTTGAGCCACAGCGCCACTTCCGGCTTTTTTCTTTTTGCTTATGTGGTGCTGAGGAATCGAACCCAGGGCCTCAGGCATGCAGGGCAAGTGCTCTACCACTGAGCCACCTTCCCAGCCCATAAACTATGTTTTTTTTTTGCAAATTTATCTTCCTCATTAGATAACTGTTTTATAGTAGAGGCCTTATTGTATCATGATTCAAACTTTGAAACCCCAGTCACTAACATAAGATTGGCACACAATTGGTGTTTAATAAATGTTGGCTAATTGAGCAAATGAATTGATTTCATTTATTTGGTCTGGAAAATTATCTTAATAAGGATATTAAATGACCGGAGAGTAAAGCTGAATAAATCTTGTCTCTGCTGCTTATTTTTAATAAGGGAATTGTTGATCTTGGATGATAAATCTCTAACCCACAATAGGAAAGGAAATAGCTAGGAAGCTATGAACTGGCTAGGAAAAGACATGGCTCTTTCAACCATTTACTCTATAGTCCCCTTACTTGTTTCTTCAGTTGCATCCTTTTTCTTGCTTCGAAAGGAATTTTGATATCCCAAAAGGTACACTTTGAAGCAGGACATCTCAGTCTTCCTTGCCCTCTCCTGGAATGTCCACAATGGAGCACTGGATTCTGGTAACCATGGCAACAACCTGAAGAATTACCATGATCCTTTCTTTGTCTAATGAGGTACAGGATTTATGAGTTCACAGGCTGAATAATTTCAAGAAAAGTGACAAATCAAGGGTCAATAACTTTTTTGTGATCCAGTTTCCTACTGTTTCAGAAAGCAGTGAGTAGAAAGAGCACTAACCTGGATTCCACTCCAAGTTTTGCCTTTTTCTAGATTAAGACTTTGTTTTGATTGTTAACGTAGCTTAGCGGTAGAGTGCTTGCCTAGCATTCATGAAGCCCTGGATTGGAGTCCTCAGTACCACATAAACAGAAAAAGTCAGAAGTGGTGCTGTGGCTCAAGGGGTAGAGTGCTAACCTTGAGCAAAAGAAGCTCAGGGAGGGACAGTTCCCAAGCCCTGAGTTCAAGCCCCAGGACTGGCCAAAAAAAAAAAAAAAAAAGAAGAAAAAAACTTTGTATTTACTTTATTAAACTTTATTTCCTGTTCTGGAGCTTTAACTTGGGGACTTGTGCTCTCTTTTGGCTAGTGCTTTACCACTTGAGCCATGCCTCGAAGCCTGGATTTTTGCTGGATATTTGGAGTCTCTCAGACTCTTCTGCCCAGGCTGGTTGGTTTCAAACTGCCATTCTCTGGTCTCAGCTTTCTGATTAGCTTGGTTTAAAGGTGTGAGCCACAGGTACCTGACTTTATTTAGTTTATATATATATATATTTTTTTTTTTTGGTCGGTCGTGGGGCTTGAACTCTGGGCTTGGTCACCGTCTCTCAGCTCTTCAGCTCAAAGCAAGCGCTCTACCACTTGAGCTACAGCGCCACTTCCGATTTTCTGGTGGTTTTATTGGAGATAGGAGTCTCACGGTCCCTCCTGCCCGGGCTGGCTTTGAACCACGATCCTCAGATCTCAGCCTCCTGAGTAGCTAGGATTACAGGTGTGAGCCACCAGCGCCCGGCTTTAGTTTATATTTTATGCTTTATTTTTATGCTGGTATTAGGTATTGAACTCAGGGTCTTCTGCTCTTGCTTAAGGTTGGTGGTCTACTGCTTCAACCACAGTTCCACTTCTGACTTTTTGCTGGTTAATTGGAGATGAGTCTCATAAACTTTTCTGCCAGGTTTAGCTTTAAACTGGGTTCCTCTGATCTTACTCTTCTAATTCTGCCTTTTTAATTTAAAATAATGATAAAGATGCTACCTATTTAACAGTTATGAGTCTTAAATATTACATGCAAATCTCTTTAGTACAATATCCAGTATCTAATGGAATTTTAATAGCATTTAAATACAAATATACTTCTGATGAACCTTTGTTCTATTTTATTTATTTATTTTTGCCAGTCCTGGGGCTTGGACTCAGGGCCTGGGCACTGTCCCTGAGCTGCTTTTTGCTCAAGACTAGCACTCTACCATTTGAGCCACAGTGACAGTTCCTGCTTTTTTCCTGTGTATGTGGTATTGAGGAATTGAACTGAGGGCTTCATGAATGGCTAGGCAAGCACTCTACCACTAAACCACATTCTCAGACCCTACTTGCTGACTTTCAAGACTTTGCTATATTAAAAGCCAGGCTGGGTGCTGGTGGCTCACAACTGTAATCCCAAATACTGAGGTGGCTGAGATCTGAGGATCCTGGTTTGAGCCCAGCTCAGGCAGGAAGGTTTGAGACTCTCCAATTAACTACCAAAAAAAAAAAAAAGCTGGAAGTGGAGCTGTGGCTTAGGCAGTAGAGCTCTAGCCTTGAGCACAAAAGCTCAGAGATGCTGAGCACCAGTGGCTCACGCCTGTAATCCTAGCTACTCAGGAGGCTGAGATCTGAGGATCACAGTTCAAAGCCAGCCTGGGCAGGAAAGTCTGTGACTCTTATCTCTAATAAAACCACTAGAAAACCAGAAGTGGCGCTGTGGCTCAAACAGTAGAGTGCTTGCCTTGAGCTGAAGAGCACAGGGACAGCGCCCAAGCCCAGAGTTCAAGCCCCAAGACCAAAATCAATCAATCAATCAATTAAATAAGTAAAGGTAGGCTGGGAATGTGTATTAGTGATAGAGTGCTTCTAGCATTCATGAAACCCTGAGTTTGATTCTTCAGTACCACAGAAACAGAAAAAGCTGGAAGCAGCACTGTGGCTCAAGTAGTAGAGTGCTAACATTCAGCAAAAGCAGCTCAGGGACAGTGCCCAAGCTCTGAGTTCAAGCCTGAGGACTGTCCAAAAAACAAAACAAAGTAAGTAAAGGTACTGTTCAGTGCTATGGCTCATGCCTATACTCCTAACTATAGGAGTAGCTCAGTAGGAGGCTGAGATCTAAGGATCTTGGTTGCTTGGTTGGAAGTCAGCCCAGGCAGGAAAGTCCATGAGATTCTTTTTTTTTTGCTGGTCATGGGGCTGGGTCAGGGCGCTGTCCCTCAGCTCTTCAGCTCAAGGCTAGTGCTCTACCACTGGAGCCACAGTGCCACTTCTGGCTTTTTCTGTTTATGTGGTGCTGAGGAATCGAACCCAGGGCCTCATGCTTGCAAGGCATGCACTCTACCGCTGAGCTACCTTCCCAGCCCCTCCATGAGATTCTTATCTTCAATTAACCACCAAAAAGATATACTAACTTTGAACAAAAAAAAGCTGCCCAGTAGCTGGGCGCCGGTGGCTCACACCTAGCTACTCAGGAGGCTGAGATTTGAGAATCGCGGTTCAAAGGCAGCCCGGGCAGGAAAGTCTGTGAGACTCTTATCTCCAATAAACCACTTGAAAACTGGAAGTGGCGCTGTGGCTCAAGTGGTAGAGTGCTTGCCTTGAGCTAAAGAGCGCAGGGACAGCGCCCAAGCCCAGAGTTCAAGCCCCACAACCGACAAAAAAAAAGAAAAAAAAGGGGGCTGGGAAGGTGGCTCAGTGGTAGAGCGCTTGCCTTGCATGCCTGAGGCCCTGGGTTCGATTCCTCAGCACCACATAAGCAAAAAGAAAAAAGCCAGAAGTGGTGCTGTGGCTCAAGTGGTAGAGCGCTAGCCTTGAGCTGAAGAGCTGAGGGATAGCGCCCAGGCCGAGTTCAGGCCCCATGACTGGACGCCCCCCCCCCCCCCAAAAAAAAAAGGAAAAAAAGAAAAAGCTGCCCAGGCCCTGAGTTTAAGCTTCAGGACATACACAAAAAAGCTAGCAAATATTAAAATTTGATACCTTCCTAATTATTTTACTATTACCTACAGTTATGAGTTTATTTTTAAAATTTTCTTTTTTTCTCTTTGTTTTTCAGTTTGGGAAGTTCTGTAGAACTATTTTCTTTTTTTTTCTTATCTGTTATACTTTTTTCCTTTCCGTGTGTGTGTGTGTATATGTGTGTGTGTGTGTGTGTGTGTGTGTGTGCGCGTGTGTGTGATGTGATCTAGGGCTTGAACTCAGGGCCAGAGTGCTGTACCTCAGTTTTTTTTGCTCAAGGCTAGCCCTCTGCCACTTGAATCACTGCTCCACTTCTGGTTTTTTGTTGGTGAATTGGACATGAATCTCATGGACTTTCCTGCCCAGGCTAGCTTCCAACTAGGATCCTCAGATCTCAAGTCTCCTGAGTAGCTAGGATTACAAGTGTGAGCCACTGGTGCCCAGCTCTGTGTGTGTGTGTGTGTGTGTGTGTGTGTATTTTTTAAAAATTTGTACTTGGGTTTTAAACTCTGCCTGGGGCATGTAGGCCTTCAACACTTGAGCCACGACCCCAGCTCTGCTACAGTGTTTTTTTTTAATTTCTAGCCTTTCTTCCTTTTGATTCTTTGTTCTCATCTCTGGCTACCTTACATTACCTCCGTGTTCTTGCATGTCCTCTACTTTTCTATTAGTCTTTAGATATTAAGAGGTTTATTTTAAATTCTTAGTGTGTGGGGGGAAGGTAGGAGAAAAATGAGGGAAGGGGTAACAAGTTTGACATGGAATTTACTTATTACCTTACTTACATTGACAATAAAAAGAGAGATAGAGACAGAGATATCCAGATGCCAGTAGCTCATGACTGTACGCCTAGCTACTCAGGAGGCTGAGATCTAAGGATCATGGTTCAAAGCCAGGCTGGACAGGAAAGTCTGTGAGACTCTTACCTCCAATAAACCACTAGAAAACCAGAAGTGGTGCTGTGGCTCAAGTGGTAGAGCGCTACCCTTGAGCTGAAGAGCTCAAGACAGTGCCCAGGCCCAGAGTTCAAGCCCCACAACAGAGAGAGAGAGAGAGAGAGAGAGACAGAGACAGAGACACAGACACAGAGAGAGACAGGGAGAGACAGAGACAGGGAGAGAGAGTGAGTGAGAGAGGGGGAGAGAGGAACTTCTTAGTCCAGTAATTTAAAAGTTTCTGTTGTATATGAATCTGGTTCTAGTACTTATATTTTTTCATTTATATTTTTTGTCAGTCCTGGGGCTTGAACTCAGGGTCTGGGTGCTGTCCCTGAGCTTTTTTTGCTCAAGGCCAGCACTCTACCACTTGAGCCACAGTGCCACTTCTGGCTTTTTCTGTGTATGTGGTACTGACGAATTGAACCCAGGGCTTCATGCATGCGAGGCAAGCACTCTACCACTAAGCCACATTGCCAGCCCTGATTTTTTCTTTTTCCTTGTCAGTCATGGGGCTTGAACTCTACCATTTTGAGTCACAGTTCCACTTCTGGCTTTTGATTGGTTAATTGGACATAAGTGTCCCATGGACTTTCCTGTCCAGGCTGGTTTCCAATACTATGATCCTCAAATCTCAGCCTCCTGAGTAGCTAGGATTACAAGTTTGAGCCACTGGCACCTGGCTTTCTATTTTTTCTTTTATTATGCCATATACACACATATGTGTATGTATATATACACATCCATTTGTTGTGTGGGGGGAGAAAGGGAGGAACTCATCTCCACTTAAGTAGCAAAAAGTCGAAGTGGAGCTGGGCCAGTCTTGATAGAAAAAGCTAAGGGTATGTGGCCCGGCATTGCACAAGAGAGAACAAACACAATTCCGTGACAATAAGATCCACAAAATTTAAGTCCCCAGTTCCAGGAATATTTTCATTGCCTTTCATTAAATTTTCATTTCCTCACTTTTACAATGTAAACGTTGGTACTATCATTTATATTTTATATAAGAGGTACAGAAGTTAATGTATTTCCACGCTCAGCCAGCTATTAGACGTTGGCAATGGGATACTTGACAGAGGTCATGAACTTTCAAAATTTCCATGTGAGGGATGATGGTGGAATTTTCCACACGGAAGGGGGGCAGTTTTAATTCACTCACTAGTAAACAAGGATTAGAATAACATTTTCTTGCCTGAGTTGTGCCGATTAAACGAGACAACATATTTGAGTAGTGGCTGCGGCTCACCTCTTAAGAGAGGATTGAGTTAGTAAACTCTGTGAATTCCATCTTATTCCCTTACATTGCTACCAGCAATTGAGAAACCTTGTAATTGCCTTGCGTTTGGATTTAGAGCAGGGACTCTGTGTCTGATTACTTTCCTGCTGTCTCCCTTGGTGTCAGTCCTGGGACTTGAACTCGGGGCCAGGGTGCTGTCCTTGAGCTCCTTTTGCTGCTCTACCTCTTGAGCCACAGCTCCACTTCCGAGTTTTTGGTGATTAGAGCCAAGAGTCTCAGGTCTCAGGGATAGTCCTGCCCGGGCTGACCTTGAACCAGGGTCCTTGGATCTCACTTCCAAGTAGCTAGGATTACAGGCGTGCGCCGCGGGCCCCGCCTTTTTCTGAGTTTTCTGACAGGCTCACCTATTTTCTCCTTCAGGCTCTCCACCACCAGCTACGGAAGAACCCAGCCCTCCGAGAGACCACAGCGCGGCGCGAGGGCGTGCACCCGCGCAGACGCAACACCGCCCTCTCTGCGCAGCTCAGCCCAGTTTTCGCGCGAAGAGACGTGGTTTTATTACACACACACACACACACACACACACACACACACACACAGACACACACACACACAGACACACACACACACACACACACACACAAACCAACCTTCTAATGACACCCTATTGCTCCAGGATCACGTGGCTCGCGCCTGCGCCCTAGGCTCAAGGTAGTTCCTGGTCGCCGAGTGGCTCAATTCGTTCCTTGGCAAGGTGTCGCGAGATCTATCCCGGAAGTAGGCTCCCTGACTTTCGCTTCCTCGGCGGAAGCGGGTCACCACTTGGCGGCGGATTCTCGGAGGAAGTGCGTCACGTCGCAGTTGTCTCGGCACAGCGGATGTGTGTCGCCGCTTAGGTGACGCTGGGAAGCGCTTGCAGCCTTTGCCGCTGCCTTTTGGTTGAAGCACTATGGAGGGAGAGAGGAAGAACGACAACAAACGGTGGTATTTTTCTCGAGAGCAGCTGGAAAATAGCCCATCCCGTCGTTTTGGCCTGGACTCAGATAAAGAACTTTCTTATCGCCAGCAAGCAGCCAATCTACTCCAGGAGATGGGACAACGTCTTTTCGTGTATCCTTGCGGCCTAGGCCTTCGGCCTGGGAGTGGGCCCTGCCATGCTTCGGCTTTCATGGCTCAGGATTCGGCGGGGACCGAATTGAGTAAGAAGATGGCAGGAACGGATCTTTTTCTTTTTCTTTTCTTTTCTTTTTTTTTTAAACCGGGGAGAGTTCACAATGGCGCGGGTTGAAAACTGTTTGGGCGAGGGAAGCGAGGCGGAGTCAATTTCCCGCTCGCTCGCCACCATCCTGGCTGAAAATTGGAATGTTTTCTGGCTTTATGTTTTAGACCGTCTTCCCTATCGGCTCTTCATTGTATTCTGACCTGTCCGTATAACTTGGAGATTTTCCTTTCTGATGTGTCCTACAGGATTTTACTGTGTTAAAAGAGTTTAGGGGAACTCAATATAGGAAGGCCTTGTAAAGGTGATCTAGAAATATAGTGTCCCAGCGTCTGTCTCAAAAATCCGTTCCTCGCACTTCTTAGTAGCTGTTTTAAGTAATCTGTCAAAACTTGGTCGTTTTTGTCTGTAAAATGGTGTCTTGTGCTTGATTCGATTCCCATCACAACGCTTGGCTTTCGGACGTTCTAATAGTAGCTGTTAGAGTTGTACAGAATTTTAGAGGAAGATGTCGGTTTACGTTTCTAAGAACGCGGACCCATAGATCTAGTGTTCAGATATTTTGGAAAATATTATTAAAGTTGTTGCTACCTCGGGGTTGTGTCATCTGTATACTTCATGTGCCTGACAGGGTCTTTAGAAATAAGGCCTTTAAAGGTTTTTTTTGGCTCTGTGATGGGTGGGGGGGAGTATTTTCAGTGAATGAATATCAAGTCATTTCAGGGGATCACCACTTGAGAATACCAGGAAATGAAATTGAAGAGTTAATTGCCAGAGTTTAGAAGGGTGGGGGGTGAGGGTGGGGCTGGAATTGAGAAGAAGGGGGATGGAGAGTGGGGGAGAGTGCGGGAGGGAGGGAAGAGAGAGAGAGAGATTGGAGAGACAGTGACAGTGGAGTATACCCTAGGGCTAGGTTAGGGAGCGTCTTGTAAATCTGATGAGTTGTGGAATGCAAGTGGCAAAAAATGGTTTAAGATCTTAGTTTCCTTCTGTACCATTTTGATTCACACATCCTGAGGAGTTTATGGTCTGTACGTTATATTAAAGTACCTGTTGTGTGGAAGACAACTGCTTTCAGTTGCAGTTAATACGCTTAAAAAAAAACAAACTAACCAACCCACAGAACTACACTTTGAAGGTTACTTTCACTTAGGACCAGCTACTGTTGTTTGGCCATTATTTTGTTGGGGAGGGTTGGTGGAAGAGATGGTATTGTGGGAATTGTGTGTTTTTGACCCTTAACTTGACCGCTTCAGTTCACAATTGACTATCAATACAGCTATAGTATATATGCATCGATTCTACATGATCCAGTCTTTTACACAGTTTCCTGGAGATGTAAGTATCTTTTTTTTTTTCTCTTTTTGTGACTGATTTCAATGGCTGATTTTGTGGTCGGTCTTTGCTACTGAGTTAGGATTCAAATTTTAGAACTTCTGTGAAGTGATTCTGTGAAGTGACTAAATTTCTGGTAGATACAATATGTCATTATAATGGGTGGATGCCCTAATTTAAAAAACAGATTATTTATTACTTAAAGTTGGAGGAGTAACATTCAAGGAAAACTCATCTTTAATAATTTTTAGAGTGGCATTAGTAACATGATCATAGAAAGCCAAGTGTATATTCAGTTTTCCAAAATCATGATAAAAACCAAAGAATGATAGGTTGGCGGGGAGGGCACAATATATGATAACAAGTGAAGAAATGGCTGTTGAGAAAAATAGATATTTTAAATATAAAATACTTTTTAAAAATATAAATTAATTTATTTCCCTTTGACAGAATTGTAAATACAGTAGTGCTATTTTCAGTTTTATTACCTGAAATGGTCCCATTTAACATTACTATCAATCCCTTGGAGATGAATTCATAGTGATAACCCAGTTGCAGGTAAGATATTTGTTTAATAACATCTCAAGGTAATAAAGGATAAATGGGATGAACACCACGTCACATGGGTTTGTGAGTCACATTTTATTATTGTTTTATAAAGGTTATGTTTTTGAGGAATCTTGTTTTGGATTTAGGACAATAAGTTTTGGCCAATTTTCTTTATCTCCAGTGCTGTAGGTACAGAATCTGTAAGGCTAGACAATAGCTCTTACAAGGTAAGATATTGGTGATAGTCAAGATTAGGAAAAAAAATTTCACTGTGTAGTGTAAGCCAGCCTTACTTAAACTGATCTTCTACCTCAGTTGCTTCCTGACAGAATTATAGGCTTGTACTGCCACCTACCATTGTTAATTTTTTAATATGGAGATCTTATTTTGGAAGTCAGAATTTTTTTCCAAAATCTAATTATTAGCTAAACTTGGTATTGTCGACCTTTAAAGGATTGATTTTTAGATATGTTCTAGAATTAACATAAAATAACACCCTTTTAGTCTAGTCTATGAATGTAGCTGTGATAAATTCAAGTTAGAGTGTTTAACCTGTCAAGCTCCTGTTCATTTTTCATGTTTGTTCTCATTACAAAGGTAATACTTTAACTTTGTAAAGAAACCTATAAAGGTAAAAGGGAAATCTCTTCTGTAATACAACTCTCCAGAGGTAATTGTTGATCAACATTTGATATAGAGTATCCCAGACATTTTATTGTGGTGGTAGTATGGTCTGAGTTTGCCCTTGTGTTTGCTAGGCAACAAGGCTCACTTCCATCTTTTTTGTTCTTGTTTTAGTCCTGGATTTTTGTTTTTGTTTCAGTCTTGGGGCTTACACTCAGGGCCTAGGTGCTGTTCCTCTGCTTTTATTACTTAAGGTTAGAGCTCTACCATTTGAGACACGGCTCCATGTTAAACTTATTTTGATGGTTAATTGACTTTCCTACCCAGGCTGGCTTCAAACTGAGATCCTCAGATTTCAGCCTCTTGGGTAGCTAAGCCTAATTTACTGCCTTTTATGTTTTTGTTTCCTTGTGCTTTATACTTGAATCAGCCTCTGACTTTCATCTCCTGATCTCTTGAGTAGCTGGAATTACATGTGTGAGCCACTGCACTTGGCCATTTTTCTATACATAAACTAGCATTTATAATTTTTATTAAAAAAATCAATGGCTGGGCACTGGTGGCTCAATTCTAGTTAACTTAGGAGGCTGAGATTTGAGGATCATGGTGCTAGGCAACTGGGGCAGGAAAGTCTGTGAGACTCTTAACTCAAATTAACCACAAAAAGCTAGAAGTGGAGCTGTGGCTTAAGTGGTAGAGCACTATCCTTGGGCAAAAAAGCTAAGGGCCCTGGCCCTGAGGTCAAGCCCTAGTACTGGCACCAAAAAAAAAATCTTACTACACCATTTTGGTGCAACTTTCCTTTATCACTTAACAGTATATATTGGACATCATTTTATTTTGGCTTTTTATTTTAACTTTTTTTTTTTTTTCTGCACTGGGGTTTGAACTTGGCCTTACTCTACTACTTGAGAGAGCCATACTTTGAGTTTCAGCCCTTTTGCTGGGGTAGTTTTGAAGGAGGCTTTTTTGCCCAGGGTGGCTTGAACTGAGGTCCTCCTATTTTATGCTTCCCACTATAGCTGAGTTAAGAAGCCCTTGTGGTTCTGCTATGTAGCCCAGGCTGGCGGAGAACTCACTGTGTAGCCGGGCTTTCTGAGTGGTGGGATTATATAGATGTGTGTTACCATACCAGGCATTAATTGAATTGTGTACTGTCTTAAATGATTTCAAATATGGAAATATAAAACAGTGAACTACTTGGAGTGTTTTGCATATTGCTTTTTTTTCCTACTTTTCAAAATACCCTTGGGACTAGTAGTGAAGCTCAGTAGTAGAGTATCTTTGTCTTGCTAGCTAAACAGCACACACACACACACACACACACACCCACCACCACCACCACCACCACCACCACCACCACCACCACCACCACCAAACAGAAACAATGTGTCTATAGACTGGGAACCTTCCTATGGTGCTTACTAACTACATGACTTTGGGCATATGACCTAGGCTTCTCATCTTTATGTGCATTGATAGTACTTATTTCATAATTGATAGAATTTAAATGATTTAATATACAAAGTGCCTACCTCCCCCCCGCCCCACCCCCCAAGCAGCCTGTAATGGCAGATTTTTTTTTTGTTGTTGTTGTTGTTTTGCCAGTCTTGGGGCTTGAACTCAGGGCCTGAGCACTGTCCCTGAGCTTCTTTAGCTAAAGGCTAGAGCTCTATCAGCTTGAGCTATAGTGCCACTTCTGGCTTTTTCTGCTTATGTGGTACTAAGGAATAAAACCTAGGGCTACATGCATGCTAGGCAAGCACTGTACCACTAAGCCACATTCCCAGCCCTATAGTAGCTGTTTTTATTTAATAGAGAAAATTTTTTATTCTTTTTTTTTTTTTTTTTGGTCGGTTGTGGGGCTTGAACTCTGGGCTTGAGCGCTAACTCTGAACTCTTCAGCTCAAGGTGAGTGCTCTACCGCTTGAGTGACAGCGCCCCTTCCGGTTTTCTAGTGGCTAATTGGAGATAAGTCTCATGGATTTTCCTGCTCGGGCTGGCTTTGAACGGTGATCCTCAGATCTCAGCCTCTTGAGTAGCTAGGATTACAGGTATGAATGAGCTACCGATGCCCAGCTAAAAATTTTATATTCTTTTTTTTTTTTTTTTTTGGTCCAGTCGTAGGGCCTGAACTCTGGGCCTGGGTGTTGTCCCTCAGCTCTTCAGCTCAAGGCTAGCGCTCTACCACTTGAGCCACAACGCCACTTTTCTTTTTGCTTATGTGGTGCAGAGGAATTGAACTCAGGGCCTCATGCATGCAAGGCAAGCACTCTACCACTGAGCCACCTTCCCAGCCCCTAAAATTTTATATTCTTAACAGGTATAAAAATTACTCTTAGCCAGGCAATAGTGGCTCACGCCTATAATCCTAGCTACTCAGGAGGCCAGATCAGAGGATCATGATTTGAAGCTAGCTGGGTTAGAGGCCAGCGGGGGCAGAAAAGACCCTGTGAGACTTAACTCCAATTAACCACTCAAAACCCAGAAGTGTTGCTGTGGATTGAAGTGGTAGAGCACTAGCCTTGAGCAAAAGAGCTCAGGGACAGTTCCCAGGCCCTAAGTTCAAGCCCCTTGACCGACAAAATAAACAAACAAAAATTAGTAAGCCAGGCACTGATGGCTCACATCTGTAATCCTAGCTACTCAAGAGTATTGAGGGGCTGGGAAGGTGGCTCAGTGGTAGAGCGCTCGCCTTGCATGCTTGAGGCCCTGGGTTCGATTCCTCAGCACCACATAAGCAGGAAAAAAAAAAAAGCTGGAAGTGGCGCTGTGGCTCAAGTGGTAGAGTGCTAGCCTTGAGCTGAAGAGCTGAGGGACAGCATCCAGGCCCAGAGTTCAGGCCCCACGACTGGACCCCCCCCCAAACAAAAAAAGAGTCTTGAGATCTGAGGACTACAGTTAGCCTAGGCAGGAAAGTCCATGAGACACTTCTCTCTAAACACCAGAAAACTAGAAGTGGCGCTGTGGCTGTAAGTGGTAGAGCGCTAGCCTTGAGCAAAAGAGCTCAGGGATAACGCCCAGGTCCTGAGTTCAAGCCCTGTGACTGACAAACAAAGGAAACACGTGTGTGTGTGTGTGTGTGTGTGTGTGTGTGTGTGTGCGCGCGCAGCGCGTGTGCACATATACACACACACATTTTTTGTTTTGGGTCCGGTCGTGGGGCCTGAACTCTGGGCCTGGGTGCTATCCCTCAGCTCTTCAGCTCAAGGCTAGCACTCTACCACTTGAGCCACAGCGCCACTTCCGGCTTTTTTCTTTTTTGCTTATGTGGTGCTGAGGAATCGAACCCAGGGCCTTGAGCATGCAAGGCAAGCGCTCTACCACTGAGCCACCTTCCCAGCCCAACACACACACATTTTTTTTTTTCAGTGCATCTCATCTTTTTTTCCTAGTCCCAACCATCAACCAGATTAATCTTCTTAAATCCTTAAATTCCACACTTGTTCTCTAAAATGTTCTGTGCCGCTTTTACTACATTATTAGTATCTCACAGCCCATAACTATTCAGGGTTAGTGTTCAAATGTTTTTCATGCCTAGATCCCCATACCTTTATGCCCATTTTCCTGTGACTTTGTTTATTCTAGTCTCTGTGTGTGTATATGTGTGTGAATGTATGTGTATGTATAGCAAACTATATATACAACTGAAACATGCAAAGAAAAAGAACTGTTACTGTGAATTGAATATGTGGGTTTTTTTTCTTTTTTGGCTACAAAATTATAACAGCAGGATTATAAGTAAGTATTAGAACATTTCAGGGGTAGCGATGTATGCCTGTAATCTCAACTATTCTGTGTGTCTGAGCAAGAGAATCACAAATTCCATGTCATCTCAAGCAAATTTAGAAAGACCTTGTCTCAAAAACAGTAACCAGGTAATGTGTGGTGACTTAGAACAGTGATCTATTACTTGAGAGGTTGAGGCAGGAGGATCATGAGGTCCAGGATAGCTTGGGCTATATATAGCAAGACCTTGTCTGAAAAACAAAGCAAAAAAAAACAATGAGCCAGCTGCTGTAATCCCATGCCTGAAATCCTAACTACTCAGCAGGTTGAGATCTGAGGATCACAGTTTGAAGCCAGCCCTGGCAGGAAAGTCTGCGAGGCTCTTATCACCAATTAAGCTCAGAAGCAGCTGGAAATGGTGCTATGGCTCAATACTTAAGTGCTAGACTTAAGCTAAAGGAGCTCAGGGGCAACACCCAGGCCCAGATTTCAAGCCCAGGACCTGCAAAACAATGACAAAAAAGTGAAAGAATCTCTCCCTCACCCCCTTTCCTTCTCTCTCTCCTGTCTCTTTCTCCTCTCTCTTCTCTCTTTCTTCTAGTTCTCCTTTCTTTTTCTCTCTCCTTTTAAAAAATTTTGCTAGTCCTGGGGCTTGAAATCTGACCTGGGTCCTGTTCCTAAACTTGTGCTCAAAGGATAGTGCTATACCACTTGAGCCATAGCTCCAAGTCTTGCTTTTTTTGGTAGTCAGTTAGAGGTAAGAGTTGCAATCTTAAAGTCTTTTACTGCCTGGGCTTGCTTTGAACTGTGATCCTCAGGTCTTGTGACACTGGCTCCTGGCTAAGAATCTCATTTTAAGTGGAAAACTATTACTTGTAGAATTTGTTGAAGGATTGGTGTTGGCAAGTAGATAGGAGAGGAAAAGTTAGTACTATAAGTAGGGGAAAAGCATAATAAATGAGAGGTGATGAAGTAGTGGCAAGCAATGAACTTTTGATTTGTTTGAGAGTTAGATCTGCTTATGTCTATCTTGATCTAAAAATAAGTCTGACATATTTTATTTCTATGCAGTCTGTGGCTCCAGCAGCCTTGTTTCTAGCAGCAAAAGTGGAGGAACAGCCCAAAAAATTGGAGCATGTTATCAAGGTAGCTCATGCTTGTCTCCATCCCCAGGAATCACTTCCTGATACTAGGAGTGAGGTAAGTACTAATTACCTGATTGGTTGTTTTTTTTAAATGGACTATTATTATTTTGAATGTAGGCTATTAAAGGAAATGTTTAATGTTTTTATTAACAAAAAAATCATTTTGGGGCAAGTTTATTGTAGTAAAAGGGAAAAATGGGATTGGGAAGGTGGCTTAATTGTAGAGTGTTTGCCTTGCATGCATGATGCCCTGGGTTCAATTACTCAGCACCACATAAGGAGAAAAAGCCAGAAGTAGCACTGTGGCTCAAGTGGTAGAGTGCTAGCCTTGAGCTGAAGAATTGATGAACAGCATCCAGGCCCAGAGTTCAGGCCCTGCAATCGACAAAAACAAACAAAAAAACAAACAAAAAGGAAAAACGTACAAGAGCATAGAAAGCACATCACTTGGATACATTTTGGACCATAGAGGCATAGACATAAATGAATCATTATAGTCAGCTGCCTGTCTTATGAGCATCTGTATGCATTTTATTTCTGTTTTTCTTACTGTATCCCAAATATTTTCCTATTCTCTACTGTTATAGAAATGTATTATATGCATATATACACCCAAAACCATTCCCTCTTTAAGAAGTATAAATATCCCTAGCTTTTTATTTAATGCTATGTGCATTCTTATTGATAAATTTTTGTTATGGATTCTTTAAAAAAGTGTCATTAGGGCTGGGAAGGTGGCTCAGTGGTAGAGCGCTTGCCTTGCATGTCTGAGGCCCTGGGTTCGATTCCTCAGCACCACATAAGCAAAAAGAAAAAAGCCGGAAGTGGCGCTGTGGCTCAAGTGGTAGAGCACTAGCCTTGAGCTGAAGAGCTGAGGGACAGTGCCCAAGCCCAGAGTTCAGGCCCCACAACCGGACCCAAAAAAAAAAAAAAGCGTCATTAGTTTTTTTTATTTTAATTTTATTGTCAAGGTGATGTACAGAGTTACAGTTATGTACAGTTACATAAGTAAGGTAGTGATTACATTTCTTGTCTATCTTGTTACCCCTTCCCTCACTTTTCTCCCCCCCGCCCCCCAGTCACTAGTTTTTTGTTTTTAACTTTTTCTTTAAATGGTTGTACAGTGGGGTTTCAGTTTAACATCACTTTATATGTACAATGCGTCTTGATCAGTCAACCCCTTCTAGCATCTCCCCACCCAGTCTGTCCCATCGCACCCACATCTCCTTAAGTTTCCTAGTTCAATTTTCATATATGTACATTGAGTAGTATGTATTCACCCACCATTCCTCTTTCCATTTCGTTGCTTCTCTTCAGTCCCTACATCTCTTGGTCAAGACATTCATTTTGTTGAACTGCCTGTTACTTGTTCACATGGTTACACATACATGTAATCTCACTCCTATGTATACCATTTTTAGTCAGTTTGATTATGTATATATGCACATAGCCCTGTATGTGTTCTCAAATATGTTTATATTTTAGATCTATCTTCTACATATGAGAGAAGAAAACATGCATTCTTATTCTCTGAGCTTGGCTTTCTCCAGTCAGTATTTTACAGGTCCATCCATTTCCCTGAAAATGAAATATTATTCTTCCTAAAGGATGAATAAAATTCCACTCTGTGTGTGTGTGTGTGTGTGTGTGTGTGTGTGTTTACCTATGTATGTATGTGTGTATCTGTATCCTACATTTTATTGATCCATACCATGTAGGGCATCAAGAACTATTTCCATACCTTGAGTATTACGAACAGTAATGTAATGAACATGGGTGTGCCAGGTACCTTTGTTTTATAAATGACTATCCGTGGACCATGGGGCTGTTTCTGTTAGATTTTTTTTTCTTTCTTTTTTTTGGGTCCAGTCGTGGGGCCTGAACTCTGGGACTGGGCACCATCCCTCAGCTCTTCAGCTCAAGGCTAGCGCTCTACCACTTGAGCCACAGCGCCACTTCTGGCTTTTTTCTTTTTGCTTATGTGGTGCTGAGGAATCGAACCCAGGGCCTCATGCATGCAAGGCAAGCACTCTACCACTGAGCCAACTTCCCAGCCCTCTGTTAGATTTTTTGAGGAATCTCCATAGTGATTTCCATATAATTTCCATATAATCCTCAAAAGCATTTGTTCATTTTTTTTCTCTCCCTCTCTCTTTCTTTCTCCCTCCTCCCTTCCCCTCCCCTCCCCTTACCTTCTCTTCTTTCCTCCTTTCCTTTCTTTTCCTCCTTTCCTTCTTTCTTTTATTTTTTGCCAGTCCTGGGGCTTGAACTCAACCTGGGCACTGCCCCTGAGCTTCTTTTACTCAAGGCTAGTGGTCTACCACTTTAGCCACAGTGCCAATTCTGGCTTTTTCTGAGCAGTTAATTGGCAATAGGAGTTTTCATGGACTTTTCTGCCCAGGCTGGCTTTGAACTGTGATCCTTAGATCTCAGCCTCCTGAGTAGCTAGGAATACAGGTATGAACTACCAGTGCCCAGCATTGTTCATGTTCTTTTTTTTTTTTGGGTCTGGTCATGGGGCCTGAACTCTGGGCCTGGGTGCTAGCGCTCTACCACTTGAGCTGCAGCGCCACTTCTGGCTTTTTTCTTTTTGCTTATGTGGTGCTGAGGAATCAAACCCAGGGCCTCAGGCATACAAGGCAAGCACTTTACCACTGAGCCACCTTCCCAGTCCTCTTTTTTTAAATTTTTTTTTTATTGTGAGAATACCATACAGAGGAGTTACAATTACATGGGCAAGATAATGAGTACATTTCTTATCAAGCATTGTTGCCTCCTCATTGTTTCCCCTTCCCATCCCTTCCCATACTCCTCCCCTCCTCCCACCAGCTCCTCTTCCCCACCCCCCCACCAAAGTTGTTAAGTTCTTTTTTTCCACCTAACAACTTGTGTTCATGTTCTTGATGATAGCCTTTCTGTTCTGACTGGAGTGAGATGGAATTCTTTGTTTTAGTGTTGGTACTGAGCTGTCCCTCAGCTCTTCAGCTCAAGGCTAGCACTCTACCATTTGAGCCACAACACCATTTCCGGCTTTTTTCTTTTTGCTTATGTGGTGATGAGGAATCGAACCCAGGGCCTCATGCATGCAAGGCAAGCACTCTACCACTGAGCCACCTTCCCAGCCCCAACACTCTGACTCTTGAGCCATGCCTCCTGTGCCTCAATTTTGTTTTGAGGTGCATTTCCTTTATGGCTAGGATTGCTGAACATTTCTTCATGTATTTATTAGCTTTCTTATTCAGAGAAGTATCTGTTTAGGTCTTTTACCCATTTATTAATTGGGTTAGGGGGCAGTATCTGGTTGTAGCTCAGGATGACCTTGTATTTGGGATTTTTTTTTTTGCTTCCGCCTCATGATTGCTATGATTACTAATACCTCTTACTAATAATAGCCCTTATTGATAACAAAGGTTTTTTTTTGTTTGTTTGGGCCTGAGCGCTGTCTGACCTCACCCCTTCAGCTCTTCAGCTCAAGGCTAACCCTCTACCACTTGAGCCATAGAGCTACTTCTGGTTTTCTTTTTTTTTTTTTTTTTTGGGTCCAGTTGTGGGGCCTGAACTCTGGGCCTGGACGCTGTCCCTCAGCTCTTCAGCTCAAGGCTAGCGCTCTACCACTTGAGCCACAGCGCCACTTCCGGCTTTTTTTCTTTTTGCTTATGTGGTGATGAGGAATCGAACCCAGGGCCTCAGGCATGCAAGGCAAGCACTCTACCTCTACCACTGAGCCATCTTCCCAGCCCCTACTTCTGGTTTTCTGAGTGGTTTATTGGAGATGAGTCTCATGGACTTCCCTGCCAGGGCTGGCTTTGAACCATAATCCTCAAATCCAGCCTCCTGAGTAGCTAGGATTACAGATAACAGTTTTTTGTTCTGTACTGTTGTTTAGGTTTGAGACTAGTTCATAGAATTAACAAAAATACAACAAAACAAAGTGTTAATCATTATTATAACAAACTGCCTGAGAAAACAATTTAAGGGAAAAAGGATTTATTTTGGCTCAGTTTCTGAGGTTTCAGTCCATGGTCAACTTGGTTGTGTTGCTTCTGGGTCCATGTGTGTGCAGAACATCATGGTGAGGAGCCTGTACTAGAGCAAAGTGGCTCACTTATTTTGTGGTACACAAGAGATGGAGAGTGCTAGGGACAAGGTACACTATTATAGAACATACCTCCAGGGACTTCTTTCTTCATCTACTTCTTAGTTTCTGCCATCTCCTAATAATGCCATCAAATTCTGAATCCATCAATGAATAAGTCCACTGATACAGAGACCCTTCATGATGTAATCACTATCCAAAAGCTCATCAGCTGCTACCAATCCTTTGTGTGTGTATAGGTATGGGTGGGGGTGGGAGGAAGACAGAGAAAGAGAGGGGAAGATATTGGGGTTTGAACTTAATTTAGGGTCTTGTTAGTACTCAAGTTTTCTACCACTTTAGCTACTTCCAGCTGACAATTTATACTAAGCACATGAACCTTTGCGCGGGGGGGGGGGGGGGGGGGGGGGGGGCATCTTGTGTTCAAACCACATCTAAGTACTAACATTCTTCAAAATGTTTTTACATTAATTACTCAGTTGATTTCTGGTTCTTATGAGGTGGTCAGGAAAAGATGTTTTATCCTCTAGATGGAAAAGAACACTAGCATAAAGCCTTGTTAGATTTATTAAAAACAAAATTGAGCTGGGCCCTGGTGGCTCACACCTGTGAGCCTAGCTATTCAGGAGGTTGAGATCTTGAGAATCACTGTTCAAAATTACCCTGGGCAGGAAAGTATGGAGACTCTTACCTCCAATTACCTACCGAAAAGGTGGAAGTGGACTTGTTTTTGTTTTTATATAAAGGGAACTGTATATTGGGATAGGTATAAGGAATGTATTTTAATGTTTCACTTTTCCTGGGATAGTATGTTAAAATTGTTTAAATTTTTATATTGTGTGCCTTTTGAGAGAATAATTTGTTTTCTCATCTGTAGGCTTACTTGCAGCAAGTTCAAGATCTAGTGATTTTGGAAAGCATAATTTTGCAGACTTTAGGTAAGTTTATTATGTTTTTAAATGTAAAAAATTATATGTGGCATAATGACTGGATATTAATATTTATAAAATAGAAAATGAATAAAATCTTTTGGCAAGATGTTTGCCAAGTTTAAATTTGTTTCTAAATAAGGATGGTTATAGACTCATAATTTAACCCTGGACTATATCTTAAAGGGAATGAAGGACAGTTGACCCTTGAAACAGCAGTTATTGAGGTTTTTATTTTATTTTCCCTATGCTTAGTACTTTTTAACCCGATAGTGACAAAACAAAGGAACTTTTTTTTTGTTGGTTGTGGATCTTGAACTCTGGGTCTGGGTCTGGGTGCTGAGCCTGAGCTCTTCAGCTCAAGGTTAGCACTCTACCTCTTGAGCCTCAGAGCCACTTCCTGCTTTTGCTGTTAATGTGGTGTTCAGGAATTGAACCCAGGGCCTCATGCATGCAAGGCAAGTGCTCTACCACTGAGCCACCTTCCCAGCCCTAGGAACGTTTTCTTACCATGATTATTTCAGTCTTTCAGTCATTGTTGGATAAGAATATTTTGCTTTTAAATTTGGTAACCAGTGTTTGGCTAACAGTGAAAGTCTTAGGGTTGAATAGACAAATCTAATGATGGGTAGCAAATAGGGAATTTTTTTTATTTTGGAGGGAGGGAGGGGTGTGTGTGTGTGTGTGTCTGTGTGTGTCTGTGTGTGTGTGTGTGTGTACTGGAACTGAAGCTTTTAAGTTGGAGCCTGGGTGCTGGGCTTAGCTTTTTCATTAAGGCTGATGTGCTACCTATTGGTTACAACTTCACTTTTGCTTTTTGGTAGTTAATTGAAGATAAAAGCCTCAGCCCTGCCTGGGCTGGCTTTGATCTGTGATCCTCAGATCTTAGCCTCTTGAGTAGCTAGAATTACAGATGTGAGATACTGGTGCCAGCTTTCTTAATCTTTTGAGTTATCTTTTTTTTTTGTTTCTAAGAAGGGTAGAAACTTATGAGATATATTTGAAAGATTGATTCATGAAACGTGTTAATGAAATGAAATTTTAAAAAGTTATTGGGGTTGGGAATGTGGCTTAGTGGTAGAGTGATTGACTAGCATGAAGCCCTTGGTTTGATTCCTCAGTATCACATAAACAGAAAAATCTAGAAGTGGCACTGTGGCTCAAGTGGTAGAGTGCTAGCTAGCCTTGAGCAAAAAAAGCTTAGGGACAATGCCAAGACCCTGAGTTCAAGCTCTAAGACTGTTTATTTGTTTGGTTGTTTTTAGTTATTGGTACAGCTGGTATTTTGCATGTGTATATGAATATTGAGGGTTTTTATTTATTTATTTTTTTTGGTCCTGTCGTGGGGCCTAAACTCTGGGCCTGGGCACTGTCTCTCAGCTCTTCAGCTAAAGGCTAGCGCTCTACCACTTGAGCCACAGCGCCACTTCTGGATTTTTTCTTTTTGCTTATGTGGTGCTGAGGAATTGAACCCAGGGCCTCATGCATGCAAGGCAAACGCTCTGGGCCTGGGCACTGTCCCTCAGCTCTTCAGCTCAAGGCTAGTGCTCTAGCATTTGAGTCACAGCACCACTTCCAGCTTTTTCTGGTTATGTGGTGCTGAGGAATCAAATTCAGGGCCTCATGCATGCAAGGCAAGTACTCTACCACTGAGCCACATTCCCAGCCCCAAGTGATTGCTCCTAAAAATACTTGTGTTTTGATTTTTCTGTGCTTTTGTGATTTTTAATTAATTTTTATTTTTGTTGTTTGTGGGACTTGAACTCAGGGCCTGGCTGCTGTCCCTGAGCTCCTTTGCTCAAAGCTAGCACTCTTACCACTTTAAGCCACAGCTCCACTTTTAGTTTTCTGGTGGTTAAATGGAGATAAGAATCTCACAGACTTTCTTTTTTTTTTTAATTTAAACTTAAAATTTTTTAAATTTTTTATTTTTTTGTCTGTTGTGGGTCTTGAACTCAGCCTGGGCGCTGTCCCTCAGTCTTCACTCAAGGCTAGCACTCTACCACTTGAGCCACAGCACCACTTCCGGCATTTTCTGCTTATGTGGTGCTGAGGAATTGAACCCAGGGCCTCATGCATGCAAGGCAAGCACTCAACCACTGAGCAACCTTCCCAGCCCTCACAGACTTTAATGCCTGGACAGGCTTCAAACTATGTTCCTCTCAGCCTCCTGAGTAGCTAGGATTGTATGCTTGAGCTATCATAGCCATCAGTCTTGTGATGTTAACTAGATTAATCAATTCTTTGGAGAGCTGTGTAAGTAATTTATAGGAGAAAATGCAGTTCAGAGAATATACTGTATACTTTGTGTGATTATTAGCCCCTCCGCAGCGATTTAGGGAAGGTAAAAAAGGAAGGCTTTTAATAACTCCAAAGAAGTATAAATGTATTGAGTAACTTTTTAACCAGCTGTTTTTTTTTTTTTTTCCTTACATACAGGCTTTGAACTAACAATCGATCACCCACATACACATGTGGTAAAGTGCACCCAACTAGTTCGAGGTAAGGAATCCCAGCTATCTTAAATTTCTTTGCTGTAGACAAGTACATAACAGTTGTTTTGGCTAAAAGTTGTATTGCAAGGCCTACTACCAGAATAATTAGTCTGACTTGGACTTTTAAGATGCTTTTTTTTTTTTTTTTGGCACTCATAGGGCTTGAACTCAGGGCCTGGGTGCTATACCTGAGCTCCTTTGTTCAAAATTAGCATTCCTCCATTTTGAACCACAGTTCCACTTCCAGTTTTTGAAAAAGTCTCAAGGAGACTTTTCTGCTCTGGCTGGCTTTGAATTGTGATCCTCAGATCTCAGGCTGCTGAGTAGCTAGGATGCCAGCACTGCCTATGATTCTTTTTTTTTTTTTTTTGGTTGGTAGTGGGGCTTGTATTGTGGACCTGGGCACTGTCCCTCAGCTCTTCAGCTCAAGGATACTGCTCTACCACTTGAGCCACAGCACTACTTCTGGCCTTTTCTGCTTATGGGGTGCTGAGGAATTGAACCCAGGGCCTCATGCATGCAAGGTGAGGACTCTACCTCTGAGCCACCTTCCCAGCCCTGCCTATGATTCTTATAATTAATGATTTTAGATGATTTCCCAGTTAAGGAGAATTAGCCTCTCTTTAGGCTGAAGGTGTTTATCAAACCAATAGCAGGTTTTGAAGTCTCCAAAGCCCTAAATACTTAATGGTGGTGTGTGTGTCTTGGAGATTGAACCCAGAGCCTGTCACTTACCAAGCAAACACTTGTCATTTGAGTTACACCCTAACTCTTTTATTTTTTATTTTGTTTTCAAGACAGGGTCTTACTTTATTTTGCCTTATCCAGCCTTAAATTTGCTATCCTCTTGCTTTCCAAGTAGCTGAGCATAGTTGAGATTAAAGGTTTCATACCATGCCTGGATTCCATTGGGAATCTTAAGGAAGTGGGTGATCTTAGCTTAATTCTAGGGTTGATTAAAGGCCCTCCAAATGACTGTATGGAATTGTTTTTGATAATTGACAATCTCTTGGCAGGACTTTCTGTTTTGTTCCAATTTTAGTACCTATAGTTAAATGAAACCTTGTTCTCCATATTTAATTATTACCATATTTTTGCAGTGGAAATTAAATTTAGGGCTTCACACATGACTGGCAGGCTTCCGTCCCCCTTTCCCTTTCTCCCTCTCTTTCCCCCTCCCCCTCTCTCCCTTTCTCTACCTCTCTTCTCCTTCTCTATCTCTCTTCTTTCCTTCCCTCCTTCCCTCCTTCCCTCCTTCCCTCCTTCCCTCCTTCCCTCCTTCCCTCCTTCCCTCCTTCCCTCCTTCCCTCCTTCCTTCCTTCCTTCCTTCCTTCCTTCCTTCCTTCCTTCCTTCCTTCCTTCCTTCCTTCCTTCCTTCCTCCCTCCCTCCCTCCCTCCCTCCCTCCCTCCCTCCTTCCCTCCTTCCTTGCTTCCTTTCTGTCCTGTCCTGTCCTGTCCTGTCCTGTGGCTCAAACTCAAGCAGGGCCTGGGCTGGCTCCTGAAGCTTGTCCATGGCTAGCACTCTACCTTCTGAGCCACAGTACTACTTCTAGTTGTTGTTTTGTGTGTGTGTGTGTGTGTGTGTTTTGTTTTTGGTGCTTAATTTGAGATAAGAGCCATGGACTTTTCCTATCCAAGCTGGCTTTGTACCATGATACTCAGATCTCAGCTTCCTAAGTAGCTAGGATTATAAGCATCAGTCACCAGTGCCCAGCTAGACACACTGTGCTTGAGCTCCACCAGTGCCCAGCTAGACACGCTGTGCTTGAGCTACACCCAGCATTCAATTCTTCTTATTCCATTGAAGATTATGGTTTAAGGCCAGCTTGACCAGAAAAGTTGGCTATAATCCATCTCCAAAATAACCAGCAAAAAGCCACTGGAGCTACATAGTTCAAATTGTAGGGGACTAGCTAGCAAAGCACAAACTCTGAGTTCCGACCTTAGTACCTCTGAAGAAAAAGATTATCTATAGGCTGGGGTTGTGGCTCAAGTGATAGGCTCTGAGTAAAAAACAGTACCTCACTCTTATAAAAAAGAATATCTAGTCTGTCCATATATAGCTCTGTGGTAGTGTGCTTGCCTGTCATACTTTTGGCCCTGGGTTTGATCTGTTTTAAACAACGTGGGGGGACAGGGAAGCTGGGAATGTGACTTAGTGGTAGAGTGCTTGCCTAGTGTGTATGAGGCCCTGGGTTTGGTTCCTTAGTGCTACATAAACAAAAAAAGAAAATATAATTTAATAAATAAATATCTATTTAAGAGGCTGTTAGAGTTTTATATACTAAATTGATAGGTATATTTTATATATTATTTATTATTTTTGCCAGTCCTGGGGCTTGAATAGGCACCCAGCTCAGTTTTAATATTTTAATATTAAAATATTAATTAATATTAATATTAAATAATATTAATGTTAAAATATTAATTAATATTAATATTAGAATATTTTAATATTTTAATAATATGTTTAATGTGGAAATTCCTAAAGGTTCCCAAGTAATGTATATTTAAATGTATTAAAATGAGCTAGGAGCTGGTGGCTTACACCTGTAATCCTGGCTACTCAGGAGGCTAAGATCTGAGGATCATGGTTTAAAGCTAGCCCAGGCAGAAAAGTCTCTGTGAGACTCTTAACCTCCAATTAACCACTCAAAAACCAGAAGTGGGACTATGGCCCTTAAGTGGTACAGTGCCTGAGCAATAACTGCTCAGGATCAGCACCCAGGTCCTGAGTTCAAGCCCTACAACTGACCAAAAAAAAAAAAAAATTTATATTGAGCAAGGATGGGGCTTAACAGATATATGTTACTAATGTATATGGATATGTGTTAATATTGAAAAGACATGATTTAAAGAAAAATTTGCTTTATTACTCTATAAAGTATGGTGGTATTTTTTGAGGGGGAGAAGGAGAATGTGTTGTTTTTTTAGTGTAATATATTCAATAGTTGATGTCATTGTATGATTCAGGAATTAAACACTACTCAAGCTTTTTTTTTTCTTTTTCGTACTTATATTTTTATATCAGTTTTCTGGATTCTGACCTTGGTACCAGATCCTATTATTCATTTCTTAGCTTCGTGTTTCTCAGTGAGTTCTGCATCAGAATCTGTGTTACTGGTTAAAAAAATGTGTACTTCTCTAAATACTGAATTGAACTCTAGGGACCATGCTCACCAATTGTATTTTAAACAATTTTCTCAATGTTTGCTTATGGAATAAAGTTTGAGTTCCTAGGTTTGGAAGCATATATATATATATATATAATATATATATATATATTTTTTTGTCTGAGACTGGGACTTGAATTCACTATCTCTGATGCTTGCTTTTGCTCAATGGCTTGTCCTTTACTAGCTGAGCTAAGTCTCCAACCCTGGAAGCATAATTATTACCATTAAAATAAAAATTTGGGGGGCTGAGAAAGTAACTCAGTGGTAGAGCACTTGCCTTGCATGTATGAGGCCCTGGGTTTGATTCCTCAGCACCACATAAGCAGAAAAAGCTGGAAGTGGTGCTGTGGCTCACAATGGTAGAGTGCTAGCCTTGAGCTGAAGAGCGGAGGGACAGCGCCCAGGCCGAGTTCAGGCCCTACGACCAGCAAACAAAACAAAAAACTGGGGGGGGGGGGGGAGTGCCTATGGTTCATGCCTATAATTCTTGCTACTCAGGAGGCTGAGATGTGAAGCTCTTGATTTGAAGTCAGCCCAGGCAGGGAAGTCCAAAGGACTTTTATTCCAATTAACCAGCCAAAAATGCTAGACAGGAGGTATGGTTCAAGTGGTAGATCCTTGAGTGGAAAAAGCATGAGGCTCTGAGTTCAAATCCCAGTACCAGCATAGTCAATCAAAAACAGTCTTAGTGTAGTGTTAGATCACTTACTTGTATTTCTGTTTCATTTACTGTTTTTGTAGTACTTTGCAAGTAATAAATTACTAAACTTATTTCCTTTGTTCTTTTTTTTTTTTAGCAAGCAAGGATTTAGCACAGACATCTTACTTCATGGCAACAAACAGGTTTATATTTTAATTTTTTCCCTTTCTGTTTTTGGAATAAAATTTACCTAAGTTGGAATTAGCACCTTTTGAGGAGAATGTAGAACAATTTAGTGAGCTAAAACTCAGCAATCTGGAAATAATCTCTGATACAATGTGCTAAGGACATTTCCCTAGGGAATATTGGATTTTCTGCAGTTTTTATGTTGTACTTCACTTTCTATGGTGTTTTTAATATGTTAAGGTGATTATTTAGTAGGGACTTTTTGATAGCCTACCTAATCTTCACTTTAAAATATCTGAAAACAAGAATGGTGATATAACTTAGTGGTATAGGGCCTGCCTTAGCAAATACAAGGTCCTGAGTTCAAATCCCATTATCACCAATAAAGAAAAAAATACATGATTACAACTTTGAAAGTTCATGTAAACTTATGTTTCAGTGACAATGACTAAAATCAAAATGGATTTTGTAGTGAATAAGATGATTTAAAAGACTTTTTCTTCTATGTACCCAAATTAATTGTGTTAATATTAAAGTTTTTTGTGTTTTTTTTGGTCAGTCGTGGGGCTTGAACTCTGTGCCTGGGCGCTGGCCCTCAGCTCTTCAGCTCAAGGCTAGTGCTCTACCACTTGAGTCACAGCGCTACTTCTAGTTTTCTGGTGGTTAATTGGAGATAAAAGTGTCTTACAGACTTTCCTGCTCGGGCTGGCTTTGAACTGCAATCCTCAGATCTCAGCCTCTTGAGTAGCTAGGATTACAGGCATGAGCCACGGGCACTCGGCTAAAGTACCTTTTTTTTTTTTAATTAGTATATAGTTTGCATTGCCAGTTGACTTGCTTGCTATTATTATTATTTTTCTGAGTTGTCGGGCTTGCACTCTGGGCCTGGGGGCTGTTCCTGAGCTCTTTTGCTTAAGGCTAATACTCTGTCACTTTGAGCCGGAGTACGCACTTGGTTTTTGTGTGGTTAATTGGAGATAAAGAGTGTCTTAGGACTTTTTTGCCCTTGTTGGCTTCCCACTGCAATCCTCAGATATCAACCTTCTGTGTAGCTAAGATTACAGGTGTGAGCCACCAGCACCCACTGAATGTGTTTCTGGGTTTTGTTTGTTTGTTTTTGTGTGCTTGGCCTGAGGTTTGAACTTAGGGCCTGGGCACTGTCTATGAGCATCTATTGCTCAAAGCTAGCATTATTCAGCCACCAGGACACTTGATTGCTGTCATCTTTCACCTCCAGTATTGTTTATTGATAGAAAATTGAAAGTGCCCTTAACTATCAGCTGAAGAAGTTAAGTTTTAATAACTTAATAATTTTGAAATACACTATGTATTTTTGTACTTCATATACTTATTGTTATTTATTATTTTTTGGTTGGTCATGGGGCTTGAACTCTGGGCCTGAACGCTGTCCCTCATTTCTTTACCACTTGAGCCACTGCACCACTTCCAGTTTTCTGAGTAGTTTATTGGAGATAAGAGTCTCACAGAGTTTCCTGTCTAGGCGGCTTTGAACCAGGATTCTCAGATCTCAGCCTCCTGAGTAGCTAGGATTACAGGCGTGAGCCACTGGCGCTCGGCTTCATTTCCTTTTTTTGTGTGTGCCCATACTGGGGCTTGAACTCAGGGCCTGGGCACTATCCCTGCACTTCTTTTGCTCAAGGTTAGTGTTTTACCATTTAGCCAGAGTGCCACTTCAGAGTTTTCTGAGTATTAAATAGAGTCTCATGGAGTTTCCTACCTGGGCTGGCTTTGAACCTCTGTCCTTAGATCTTAGCCTCCTAAGTAGCTAGGATTATAGATATGAGCCTAGCATGGGCTAGCTTTGAATCATGATCCTCACTCAGGTCTTAGCTTCCCGAGTAGCCACAATTACAGGTGTGAGTCACCAGTACTGGCTATATACTTATTTTTTGTAGTACTGGGACTTGAACTCAGAGCTTTGTTCTTGCAGGCAGGTACTCTTACCACTTGAGTTATACACTTTTTGCTTTTTATTATTTTTCCATTAAGGTTTTAATTTTTGCCTGAGTAGCTTTAGACCATGAGCTTCCTATTTCATATTCCTGCATAGCTGAGATAATAGGTAGACACTACTATGCCTTGATTTTTTTTGGTGCCAGTACTGGGGCTTGAACTCAGAGCCTGGACATGTTGTTCCTAAGCTTTTTTTGCTTGACTGGTACTCTACCACTTGACCTATATTTCTGTTTCTGGCTTTTGGAGATTAATTAGAGATAACAATCTCATAGACTTGCCTGCACCATCTGGCTTTGAACTGTGATTCTCAGATCTCAGTCTCAGGAGTAACTAGGATTACAGATGTGAGCCACTGGGGCCAGGCTTGCCTAAACTTTTATGGTTGAGATGGCCTCTAACCAGTTTTTTGCCTGGGCAGGTCATGTATATCTACCTTCTTGATTTCTACTCCCTGAGGAACTGGTATTATAGAATTAGACACTGTGACTTGCTTATTCATTATTTTAAGTAGAACAAGACTATAATTGACAAGAGTCAATCCATTGTTGGTAGTTTATGCCTGTAGTCCTAGCTACTTAAGTCTGAGGATAGCAGTTCAAAGCCAGCCTAGGCAGGAAAGTCTGTGAAAAAGAGTTAAAATAATTTTGGGGGCTGGGAAGGTGGCTCAGAGGTAGAGTGCTTGCCTTGCATGCATGGGACCCTGGGTTCGGTTCTTCAGCACCACATAAGCATAAAAAGCCGGAAGTGCAGCTGTGGCTCAAGTGGTAAAGCACTAGCCTTGAGCTGAAGAACTCAGGGACAGTGTTCAGGCCTCATGACCGCCCCCCAAAAATAATTTTGGGGTACTTATTATTTGATTTGGTGATTAAATTAAATATGCACACATAATTCCCTTAAGTTCTGAGCTTATTCTTAGAATAATAGATAATAAACATTGATTTCTAGGCATGGATAATGGTGTAGAAATCAATATATCAATAAACTAGAATACCTAACCCTTTCCTCTTTCCTTTGTGGACTGATAAATAAGAAATTTAGAAGGGTTGTTAAACCATTATATTGAGTGCTGAATCAGACAGCACAGGATAGTTCTCTTAGTTCTCTTCTTGCTCTCCTGTGGGTTTTTTTTTTTTTTTTTTTTTTAAATAATGGAGAGTTTTAGCTTTGGGTTGAGAATTGAGAGCTCATGCCACTCTCTGTTTCCTTCCCTCTGGTGTCAGCCTGCATTTGACCACATTTAGCCTGCAGTACACACCTCCTGTAGTGGCCTGTGTCTGCATCCATCTGGCTTGCAAGTGGTCCAACTGGGAGATCCCAGTCTCAACTGACGGGAAGCACTGGTGGGAATATGTTGACGCCACAGTGACCTTGGAACTTTTAGATGGTAAGTTTTAGAGTAAGGGACCTTGAAAAGCACTTGATCTTGGACTGTCATGTGTCTGGCCAAAAGCAACTTGACTCAGATAATAGTTAGTTGAGGTTATTCTTGTTTTATTACCTTTGTCTCTCTGAGTATTTCTTGACTTTTTATTTGTAGAATTGACACATGAATTTCTACAAATTCTGGAGAAAACTCCAAGCAGGCTCAAACGCATTCGGAACTGGAGGGTAAGAATTATTCCTATCAAACCTGTTCCTTTTACTGTACTAGTGAATATACCAGAATGTGCCTTATGTTTGGAATTTCCCTTTTTGTAGTTGCACAATAATCATGACTTCATAGCTTGGATACTGGCCAAGAAGTGAGTGGCTACAGCTGGTCATAGGTTTTGCTCTGTGTTGTGCAGTACCCATTATCCCATTATGAGATTATTTGGTCATCAACATTGACTATTTTCTTGGTAGTTCTGGGATTTGAACTCAGGGCCTCATGCCTGTTAGGCAGATAATCTACCACTGAGCCATACCTCTAATGTGGCTGAATATTTTTATGTATGGAGACTATTCAAGAAACATGATTTTTCTGAGTCAGAGTACTGGTGTCTGATCAAAAAGAATAAATAAATATAATTATGAGGTTAATGCTAGTGGTACCTTGTTTAAGATTGCCTTTTTGTTTGTTTGTTTGGATGGTACTAGGGCTTAAACCCAGGCCCTTGCTCTTTTTTTTTTTTTTTTTTTTTTAACCTTACAGCTGGGTCTCCACTGTTTGAGACATGCCTCCACTTCCAGTTTTTTTTGCTGGTTATTTATAGCTGAGTCTTGAAGATTTGTCGACACAGGCTGGCTCTAAATTACAACCTACATTTGAAATGAGTGTAGAACTTTTGTATGCGTTGGAGTTCAAAGTTACAAAATTCTGTTTTCTATATTTTTCAAAGTCTTGGAACAATGCACTCTTCTCTCCTACCTTATCACCCCCCCACCCCCTGCCCCACACCCCAGCATCCAGTAGAAAGCTTAAGAATATTTCCCTTGCCTAAGAATATTTCTCTTTCTGATAATCCTAGCTACTAAGGAGGCTGAGATCTGAGAATAGCAGTTTGAAGCCAGCCTAGGCAGGCTCCAGACTCTTAATCTCCAACTAACAAGCAAAAATCTAGAAGTAGAGCTTCCAGTGCTTCAAGTGGTAGAGCACCAGCCTTGAACAAAACGCTCAGAGAGTTCCCAGGCCCTGTGTTCAAGCCCTAGGACCAGCAAAAAAAAAAAAAAAAGGAATTTTTTCCTTGAGCCTCATGTAGTAGTTCACACATGTCAGTCTAGCTACTCTGGAGACTGAGATCTGAGGATTTTGGTTCAAAGCCAGCCTGAGCAGTAAAGTCTGTGAGACTCGTCTCTAGTTAACCACCAAAAAGCCAAAAATGGAGCTATAACTCCACTTTTTGCTTTGAGCAAAAGATCAAAGGGTAGTGCCCAGGCCCTAAGTTCAAGCCCTAGTATCTGCATACAAGTATTTCCCTTGGGATCTGAGTGTGCAGCACAGTGGTAAGTTTCACACCTAGTGTGCACAGGTCCCAGGTCCATGGGTTCAGTCTTCAACACTCAAAAACAAAATCTCAGATTTCTCAAGTCCTGATTGATAAGCTTAATTTCATCTTCCTAAGTTGAATGAGTTGCAGAAAATTGTGTCTTCCAAGCCTCACAGTTAGAAGCAAACTTGAGACCACACTTAAACCTCACACAATTCTTATGAATTTGTTGAAAGATTTACTATAATCACAAACACTTATATTAAATGCTTATAAATTTTATATAAACCAGGCTTGAGGCGTGGTTCAGTAGAGCACCAACCAATGCATGAAAGTATAAGGTACAAAGTTCGTGTTCTGATCTGGACAAAAAAAAGAATTTCATATCGAGTCCTGATCTCAGACAAAAAAGAATTTTATTTAAACCTAAAGTGTTTTGTTTTGCCTGCTAATATTGATATTGGTTGCTACTTTTCTTGAAGGTCATATTTATTGACTTTCAGTGTGTGTAGGGATGAGTTTGCTGTGACCTATCCAGAACTTCAGTGTTGCAGCATTGTTCATCTTGGTATTTTTCTTCTTAATAAATTGTTTTAAATGAAGGATATATATATATATATATAAATTTTTTGCTTCCTTCTAGCCATGCCAAGCTGCTCAGAAAACAAAAGTAGATGGCCGAGGAGCAGATACAAACACTTCAGAGCAGACAATCCTCAACATGATTTCCCAGAGCTCTTCAGATACAACTATTGCAGGTTTAATGAGCATGTCAACAACTTCTACCACAAATGCAGTGCCTTCTCATCCAGCTTCTGAGGAATCATCAAGCAACTTACCTGGAATGGAGATGTTGCAGGGAGAGCGTTGGCTGTCTTCTCAACCTCCTTTTAAACTAGAATCTTCTCAGGGTCATCGGACTAGTGAGAATTTATCACTTGTAGGAGCTGATCATTCCTTGCAAAAGGATGGTGCAAATGCATTTATTTCCCAGAAATCGAGTAATAAGAGTGTGCCGTCAGCTAAAGTGTCACTGAAAGAATACCGGGCAAAGCATGCAGAAGAGTTGGCAGCCCAAAAGCGGCAGCTAGAGAACATGGAGGCTAATGTGAAGTCACAGTATGCATATGCTGCCCAGAATCTCCTGTCGCATCATGACAGCCATTCTTCAGTAATTCTGAAAATGCCCATAGAGGGCTCAGAAAACCCTGAACGTCCTTTTCTGGAAAAGTCTGACAAAACAGCTCTCAAAATGAGACTCCCAGTGGCTGGTGGTGATAAAACTGGCTCGTCAAAACTAGAGGAGATAAAGATGCGCATTAAAGTCCATGGTACAGCCGATAATAAGCACAATTCCTTAGAGGACAGTGTCTCCAAGAGCCGTGAGCACAAAGAAAAGCACAAGATTCATCCATCTAACCATCATCATCATCATCATAATCATCATTCACACAAACACTCTCACTCACAGCTGCCAGTTGGTGCTGGGAACAAACGTCCAGGTGATCAAAAACATGCCAGTCAGGCAAACACCTTAGCACATAAAACCTATAGCTTATCGAGTTCTTTTTCCTCTTCGAGCTCTACTCGTAAAAGGGGCCCTCCTGAAGAAACTGGAGGGGCAGTATTTGATCATCCAGCCAAGATTGCCAAGAGCACTAAACCCTCTTCCTTAAATTTCCCTTTCCCTCCTCTTCCTTCAATGGCCCAGATGCCTGGGCATAGCTCAGACACAAGTGGCCTTTCATTTTCACAGCCCAGCTGTAAAACTCGAGTTCCTCATATGAAACTGGATAAAGGAGCTAGTGGGGCTAATGGACACAGCGCAACCCAAGCAATAGACTATCAAGATACTGTGAATATGCTTCACTCCCTGCTGAGTGCCCAAGGGGTTCAGCCCACTCAGCCCCCTGCATTTGAATTTGTCCATTCGTATGGGGAATATCTGAATCCACGCGCTGGTGGAATCTCCAGATCTGGCAATACAGACAAACCTCGGCCACCACCTCTTCCATCAGAACCTCCTCCACCACTTCCACCCCTTCCTAAGTGAAAAAAAAAGAGGCGGGGGGGAAAGAAACCTGTTTTTAAAAAAACACATGTTTTTTTTTTTTTATTGACTACTGATACTGGATTAAGAAAATTACTTACCTTATGAAATATGTCACCCTTCTTGGACTATGGAATAAATTGATATTAACACATAGATGGGAGGGTGGTGGAGGGCCTCAGTTATACCTGCTGCCTCTTACATTCAACTATTTTATTATAGTTTTTACTGGTATTAAAGAGGTGGGAATGTGTTGAAGCTGTGAAGGATTCAGAACACTTTCTGTATTGGCCTCTCCACCTTTTGATTAGTTTGATTGGAATAGTAAATCTTCCCTCTTCTTGCTGGAACTGAAATATGGAGGGTTTTCTCAAACAATTGTGGGATTCTTTTGATGTTTAATATATCAGAAGAGAGGAAGTATTTAAACGTCAAAATCTTTTAAGAGACTTTAAAAATAATTTAAAGAAAGTAAGTTATCTGTTTAGTTTTTTTATATAATCGGGAAGGGGGGTGGGGATTTTGCTATGTGTATGAGATGCATAGCAAGGACTCCTGGGGAGGGGGGCATTACTGGAGGGTGGGAGTGTGTGCAGGGTGGGTGGGAGGGTCAACTTTGGCCAAGAGTTGAGGCTCAGGCCACTTGGAAGTGTTGAGTCCTTTATGTGTATGTATGTGTGCGTGTGTTTTTAAGTATGTGTGTTTAAAAATCATGTTTTATCTTTCCCTCTATATCCTTTCACTTCCCAACATTCTTTTACAAGAGAATGTGATTGGCCTTGAGAACATGAAGGAAGAAGCATGTTTTTGACATGGTATTTCCCCTTTATGTTGTAATTGAGTATTAGCCTTTTAGTTTGGCCAAGTGTAGCCAGTGACCTGACTCTTAACAGCATTATGAAAGCTTCCTTTTTTTTTTTTTTAAACTGCTACTTCTTTTAATGCAGAACGAAGTTATGGAATTAAGGGAAATATGTTCAAGAACAAGGCCAGCTTTCTGCCCTACAGAATTGGATGTGTCCTGTTTTCAGGGCTTTGGGAAAGTGTTCAAATGAAAGCAGTCTCAGGGTCTCTGAAGGGGAGGGGAGATGTGGTGTATATATTCTGCCAGTTAAAGCCCAGACCTTTATGTGATCATAGTTCTGGAAGAAGCCTCAGAGGTAAGAGATACTGAAAACAATGTGATCTGGAATTCTTAGGACACTGTATCTTAAAGACTTGCCTTTTGTCTGTCATCTGAAGGGAAAAAAGCTGCATCCTTAAATGTTTGCAGCCCTCATGACTTGAGAGATTGGAGATTGTGAGTTTAACAGTACTGGTGCCATGAGTGAGCAAGCCTAGCCAAGCTCTGTTTCGATTATCCAGCTTTGGTGGTCTTAGCATTTTAGACACAGCTTCTTGAGATCTCTGAGTTTTTTTTTAAGTAAAAAAAAAAAAGAATGAGGAGCCCTGAGAGTGGGCTTTGATGATCCCAGACCCCTTAATAGTGAGCATTTTTGTTCAGGAAGGGAATTGTTCAATCTTAACTAGAAAGGATTTCTAAACCAAGCAGTCTAACTGAAAATGCCACCTAGCTACAGATCATATTATGTGCTATTTGGTCATCATGGCTTTTTTTTTTTTTCTATGGAAAAGAAGGTGTAATTTGAAAGTCTTGTTTTTTAATACAGCTTCCATTACACCCAATAGTCTTGGGAGAGTTGAAGTTTTTTTTAATTGAAAGTCACAGGGCGACAAGAGTTGCACATAAGCTGCTGCTTGCCAGGAACAGATTGGGAAAAACACTGAGGCTGTTGGAATTGATGTACTGGCCTGCTTCTGGGAAGTTATTTGTAGGAAGCAATAGACCTGAATGAGGTGAAGTGGTTCTCTGTCTCTGCATCTTTGAGCTGTCTGGCGTGCAGGCCAGTGCCATGTTAACAGAAAGGAGTTCTCTGCTAAATCAATAATACCTGGAATTCCACTTTTATAGATGACCTTTTCCTCTTCCTCGTTGATACTCTTTGTGTGTGCCAGGTAAATGGTCAATGTGTAGTTGTGCTTACTAAATTTTGTGTTGGTATTATTTTGGTGTTTGGTTAGTTGGAGTCTGCTTCCAATCCAGACCTTCCCCAAAGGGAGAATGCCATTTAGTTTGTATCTTTAGCTGCAGAATTAATAACGGATTTGAATTTGAAAAGGTCTCCTTTAGCCTCACTATTCTCGTTAATGTCACCTGTTTATTAATCACGTGCCCTCCTTTACCAGATATCTACTTGTCATAGCGATTCTCCATGGTAGTAATGTAGTTAAGATACTTAGAATGTTGTCAGGAGTGAGCTGGGAATAAGTGCTTATTAGTACCTAAAGATCTTTATGCTGTGGAGTCTGGCCTTTGCACTAGTGGGTAGTTGCTGATTTAGGTAAATTTAGAGACTTTTCTTTACTAACGCCTCCTGGTACTTTAAAAAGATACAGTGTCTGCTTCTAGGTCTATGCATATATCACGAATTCCTCATGGATTCCGTATAACGCTGCTGCATTATCTTTGGATTAGCAGTTATGCCTGTCAGCTAGCAGGCATATTATCCAAATGCTGTAAACTTAATAAGGCTTCTAAGGCTTTTATGATCTTTGTGTCTTCCCTCTTCACTTTTTGAAAGTGTGAGAAAGGGAATTTATATATCCAAAGTTAATATTGTAACATGGTTTTTTGTTTCTTTTGACCTAGACTGTCAAGGATAAGTGATGGTATATGCAGGCTTGGAGCTTAAAGTTCTGTAAATCTCATCCCGAAAATTTTGCTTGACTTCCCTACAATGGCAAGAGTCAAATACCTGTGGGTTGTTTTTAGGACTTTTAGTCAGATACCTGTGTTCCTATTGGCGTAATGCTAGTTGAAGCATTGATAGAGCCAATAACGTTTTTTGTTGATGTATCAGTTAATGCCTTTTAGGCTTAGAAAACACCTACATATTAGTCTAGTCTTCCTGTTCAAGAATCATTGTGTTTCCTTATCTGAGACCTGAGGCCCTCATCATCCTTTTTAAAATTGGTATGTGAGGTGTGTGATGCTGGGGATTGAACCCAAAACTTTGCTCATGCCAGACAAGTGCTCTTATCATTGAGCCATGTCCCCAGCTTTGCATCCTTTTTATGCTTTTGAATGATTTTAGTGCTTTGCTTTAGTGTATCCTACATAATTCAGTATTATTGGTTCACCAGTGGTGACAGAAAAAATTCAAATCTCCAGTTGCAAACAGCAATGGATTTGAGTATAGAAGTAAAATCATGGTCATGTCACTACTGAGTTTCCTGAAACCTCTGCTATTTAATTCTTCATGTTGAAAATGCATGCCCTATTACCTTGCTTATGGACAAAGGCAATTTGTAGGGCCCTGACTATCCTAGTTGGTTGGATTTCAAAATACTTGTTTCCTTTATTTTGGGAACTGAATAATTTTTTAAAGATTTTTTTTCTTTTGTTGGGTTATTTTTATATTAATGCTGGTAAAAGAAAAGCTAGAACATCTTATACAACTCATTCTCTTGTTTGGGAGAAAATTTTAAGACATCTATGCAACCCATCACGTGATGAGAAATAGCATAGCTCTCTGTGGTCCTACTAAGCTTTCAGTGACTTTGATACCTCCTCAGTTGTGTTGGTGTTGCTTACTGTTAACATGCAGCTTTTCACTGAGTTTTGGCTCCTGATGGTTTAGATGATGTTGTACCATACTGTCAGGTTTTATAATGTCTCTCTCTGGGTATGAATTTGAAACAAGGATGGTACTGTAATGCTAACTGATACAGTGGTCAAGAATCAGAGTGATTTACCAAATGGGAGAGCTCTTCATTTTAATGTTCCCGATGTTTTTTAAAATACAAATTTGGCACTGGAAAGGGAATAGAGAGGAAAGAATGTTGAATAAAAGGTAATGTCTACTCTTTCCCTTTATGAGTGTGTATTCCTGGTGTATGAGGAGAAAGACACTTGGGTTTTAAGCATGGAGAGGGATGCTTGACAGCATGCTAATTGAAGCCAGAACAAGTAATGTCTCTATCAGGTAATAAGGAACTCTTCAGTGAAAGCTGAGGGACTGGTTCATTGTTGAGTAGAATGAAATTGGTTACAATGTGGAAGAGTTGTCTGGCTTAGACACCCAAAGAAAAGAATGAAGCAGCCTAATTTAGGGTGAGCCTAAGTTTCTGAACTTGAAACTGATCTTTTCTTACCCTACTTTATACACCTAAAACTGTCCGTTTTTATATCAGACCAAAGAGCAGAAGGGAAAAAAAAAAGTAAAACACTTTACCAATTTTGTCACTCAGGTACAATTTTGTGGTGAGATTTTTTTTGTGTGTGTGATTCTTTGTATTGCTCTTAAGAGTCCATTTTCAGCATATTCTGCTGTTGCCTCTGTCCTCTTTGGGGCACTTAGTTTTGGATGCTATCCTTGGGATCTGTACTGCTGTTATGTGAATGATAGGATGTAAGTGACCATTATCATAAGGGCTCTTTGTAAAAAATTTTAAAAAAAAGTAAAAGAAGGATGTTGTATACATTTTTTAGGCTGGCTATCAGTTTGATACCTTGCTGTCAAGTATGTTTCTCAATCTGTATTTATCCATCCTGTCAATAAATGTTAATGATAAAACATTCATCTGATTGTTGTTTGTATGTACCATGACCTAAACTAGTTTCTGTCATTTTATTGATATAACTAGTTTGCTTCAGTTTTCATAGAATTATGTTCTTATTGTAAAAGTTCCTTTGGAGTCTGAAGATACATTGGAAAGACCTAAGATTTGGCCACCATAGTGAACCTGGTGGTATAAAGTGTGTTGTAGTCAGATGGAAGAAAACCCATCAATCCGTTGTTGCATGAGTACCTGAAAGTATAACTTGTAAACAAAAATTTGTAGCTCTAACATGTTCAGTATGAGTCATAATTGTATATTGCTTGAAAATTCTGAATTGTTAAGATTGATACAGCAATGGTTGTCAGAGAAAATGTGCTTATGTTGAGACAGGATCTTGCTGTGTCACTTAGACTGGCCTTTGAACCTGAGATCCTCCTGTGTCAGCCTTTTGAGAGCTGAATGTGCAGTCATGATCCACCATACCCAGGCAGAAAGTATGTTTTTTTTTCCTGGTACTTGAGATTTAATTCAGGGCCTTACACTATGGCTTTTTTTTTTTTTTCTTTGTCCTTATGGCTGATGCTCTGTCACTTGGGCCATGTCTGTAAGTCCAGCTTTTTTTAGTTGGTTGACTGGAAAGGGAGTCTTCAGGGACTTTTCTGCCTGGGCTGGCTTTGAATCAGATTATAGCCTCCCGAATAGCTAGGATTATAAACATGAGCCACCAGCATCTGACTCATTGTTATTTTCCAAAATAAGGTAGGTTCAAATTTTTATTTACTAGGTGAGCACTAATAATGGTGCTAGGGATTGAACCCAGAATCTTGTGCATGCTAGACAAATTTTCTACTCTTAATTTTTTCTGCACTTCTAGTTTCAGCTTTTAAAAAAATTTAATAAAAAATGAAAATAGCAAAATAATC